GCAGAGGAGGGGCCCAGGGCATCAGTTGCCAGGAGACAGGGCGTCAGCCATCCACTGTGCAGACACCATCACACTGGCCCTCTCGGGCTCTGCAACAATCACACCCCCTTATCCCACTACCTAGATACTCAAGAACTGCATAGGGGAAACTGAGGCACCCACACAGTATTCAGAGAGAACATTAAGAACATTCCCACTTCGTCACATGGGCATTCGCACAAGTAATGTTTCTTGTATCACAATAGCAACCAGAAAGCTTTCTACCCTCTAAGAGGGCCATGCAGTGGTCTGCATTTCCCCTGCAACAGTTCCATTCACTAGCACATTAAACGGAATAGGGAGCTTCATCTCATGCACTATTTTGTGTGTTAGTCGTGGCATCAACTTTGGCTGGGGGGGGGGTAAGGAAAGAGAGGTTCAATCCTATTCAGGGGCTCAGCACCACGCAGGGTCAGGTCTAGAGTCAGCAGCTGCCATGAAAGCAATTTTCCACCGTCTACCTGCATAGGGCCAGTTCAGAGAAGAATCTGAAGGAGTCTAGTTCATGTAACCTACAGCTTCTTCCAGTCCTGTAGTATACAAGTTACACAGTTTGGATGCCCTTATGTCCATTTACCGATTTAAACAGCCCCCCCCCCTTTTATACCTGTGAATTAGGTTCTTAACGCCATACCAAAATATGGGCCAAACACCTAGTTTTTAAATTAGCTTTTCTCTCTGTCACTGGAGGTTTTTAAGAGCAGGTAGACAAGCAGGGATGGTCTAGAGAATAGTTAGTTCTGTCTCAGTGCAGGGGACCGGACTAGATGACCTACCAAGGTCTCTTCCAGCCCCCTGTTTCTATGGGTCTGTAATGCATGGCAGAAGGGGACTTCGAGTCTGTGTGGATACTTATGCACGGCTAAGACAAATCAACAGAATCTCACCGAGACCCAGTAAAAGTAGTACGCTCGTCCACAACAGCATGTAACGCAGACTTACTGTATTAGTACACAAGCCACAATAAGGACGACGGACGCTACCACTGAAACCACCACTAAGGCAGTGATGGTTTGTTTCTTCTGATTGGCAGCTACCACTGCAAGGAGGTCTGCATGTTCACATCGCGTCCCGACGAACCCAGAATGGCAGCTATGAAGAGAGGAGAGAGGAGAATTAAAGAAGAAAGCACAGAAGCCCAGGCGCACCCAAGAAATAATGATCCTGTCATTGGGATTCTCAAAAGGCATTTCGCAGTCAGATCCAATGGGAGTTAGGCACCTCAGTCCCCTAGCCAGAGAGTAAAGAGTGGGACAGTGACAGGCTAGCAATACTTCAAATGCCAATTAAGGGGTTGATCCTGCAGCCCTTACTCTGGCAAAGCTCCCACTGAAGTCAAAATAAGTTGTACCTGATCAAAAACCTGCAAAGTAAAGCCCTGAGCATGTACTAAGCCAGCAGCTCCTTGCAGCCCCCCAGGCAAAGTTTTCAGGCCTCCAAAAGCCATCTATTTAGGCTAGATTTTTAGAATGCTGAGCCCCTGCAAATAACCATTCAAGTCTTGGGACCAGCTGGGGGCACCACTGAAAAACCAGGCTAGTAATTTAGGTTATGTCTATGCTGCAGTTTAAAAACCCGTGGCTGGCCCTTGCCAGCTGACTCAGGCTGCAGGGGCTGTTTGATTGCAGCGTAGACATCTGGGCTCAGGCTGGAGCCCAGGCTCTAGGATCCTGTGAGGTGGGAGGGTCCCAGAGCTCAGGAACGTCTACACTGCAATTAAACAGCCCCGCAGTCCGAGCCCTGCGAGTCAGAGTCAGCTGGTGTGGGCCAGCCACGGGTGTCTAACTGCAGTGTAGACAGACCCTTAGGTAACTAAATATGGATTTAGGAGCCTAACTTTAGGCATCCAGGTTTGACCTTTTCCCCCTTTGTGCCATGAAGGACAAGGGAAGGTGGGTACTCCATTCTCTCTGAAAATTCCAGCCAGTGTTGTTTCCTTAGAGGTAACGTGCGACTCCAAAGATAATGCAACAAGTTATATGTGCCAGTTCTCATCCCAAGGGAAATGCAATGGGCACTATACAGTTACATAGGCCTGTTGCCCTGAGGAACAGTGAATCACTTCTCTTCTGTTTCACTTGTGCTCACACAAGCAAAACACTTTGCCACAGGAAGAGACTTACACACATGCTGGCTTCTCCTCTTGCACCAGAAACCTGCAGGTTCCGTGGAAGCAGAACTGACTGTGGGAGTCGGGACAGTCGTTAAAATGGGATCGGACTGCGGCAGCCACTGGGGGACCTAGATGGGGTGAACAAACAAAGATACATTTTTAACTCCATGTGTAACCCACACACCTTCAGGGTGTGGTGTCCTGTCCCATCTAGTGGCATCGAGACCACTTAGAGAGAGTTAAATAAGTTTGCTCTACAGCCTTAGCTAAGAGCCAGTTGGCTTTTAGCTCATACAGTAGAGGCTCATGCACTAAGCTCTAGAGGCCCCAGGTTTGATCCTGCCGGCCGACAACCGGGGTCTCTCGCCGGGACACATGCATTAGCCAAGTCTGAGACAATTCTCTGCCCACAGGGTTGCACTCAGCCATGGTTTAAATTTCACATGATGCAGAGTTTCCAGGGCACAGCACACACATGTTCATAACCCACACAGTAAAGCCCTAAAGAGTTTACTAGAAAAACATTAACATCTTTAGAGGGGGGGTTCCCCCCAAAAAACCACCCTCTAAAATTTAAATAGATAATTGTATCCCTGCCACAGAATTCCACCAGGTAGGTTTTTTGAACTATAGTGGTGTTCTCCTTTTCTATTAAGCACTGAAGAGTATTTTTTGTAGAACCCTCTTGGTTTTGCTAGACATATTCAAAGCTACTCAGGAGATTTAGATACAGATTCTTGTTAGTATTAATGGAAACTGGACACCCAAATCCTTTAGGTGGCTTAAAATAATCTCAGTGTCTCTCTTTAATCAATTCTCCCATATAGGCAGGGCCCTTATTACTATGATGTTCTATTTCTATTACTGTAGCATCTAGGAGTCCTAGTAACAGATCAGGATTGCATTGTGCATGGTACTGTACAAACAGATTCCTCCATTGCAATTTGAGCTCTAAGATTAGCGTAGTGCAGGTGAGGGGAAGGGTGGGCATGAGGGAGGGGCCACAGAAACCAGGATATGCGACTGGCAGCACCAGAGTTTGAAATCCTCCATGGAGCCACAAGAGAGATGCAGGATGGAGCAGAGTACGGTTCCCCCATGCCGCCTTGACAAGGTGCTTCAAGTCTGTCTTGGAGGAACCACCTCTGGGATAAGAGGAAAGTTCAGTCTCCATGGCCCAGCCAGTTCTTGGCCTCTCTGTTGAGGCTGCAACAGAGGGTGCGTTTTAGCGACAGTTTGGTGGTTGTTCTCCCTGATGGATGCTTGCCCATGGAGAACCAGACTAAGTTCCCCCATCTCATTTCACACAGGCCACCATATCACCCGAGTAACATTTGGGCACTGCTAGACTGGTCTGAGTGGGTGACTTAGAGAACAGAGCCCTTTGTTTCTATTTACCAATCCCCTGAGCCAACAAGACACCCTCCTCCATAGATTCCTAGAAACATGGAGGAAGGGACGAGTTCTGTAGGAGAAGAGCAAATTCCATTTCCCCTTCCAGAGAAGTCTCGCTAATACCACTGCAGGATTGGAGATTTTTAAATAGGTATTTGCAATCCTGCCATTCAGACTGGTGTAGATGGGACAAAGAAGCTGCATCTGTTGACACCAAGTGTGAATTTGGCCCAGAAGCTGTAATGAAAGTGATCGAGACTGCAGGCTGAGAAAAGTTGAGAGAGCCCAAAGGGAAAGGAGATTATCTACTGAACGGGGTCTGGATTTGTTCTTCCAACCCTATGAAATCAGAGGCAAGCAGCAGATATGTTTAAGGGGCCCTTAGTGGATCATTTCTGATACACTCACAAAATAAGCTTTTGTGGCGCTAGAAGAATTTACTAAACAGCTTAAAGCTTAAAATTCTTAGCCTGGATGAACTTGATGAATAATCAAAGACTCATGCGCTTAGAGAGTACTTGCCAAAGATTCACTGCACTCTTCCATTTGTTTTCTTGTTACGAAAGCACCACCACCACAATAGCATGTCGCGGAGATGTTCTAGATAGAAGACACTCACAAGAAAGGGGGTCTGCTTTAAAAGGGACCTCTTCCACCAAGCGTGATAAGCACAGTGCTGGCGATTCTATATAATGAAACATTGTGAAGTCAAGTCTCAGTAGTAAGGACAAAGCAGAGCAGAGGAAGAGAAGTGGGACACAAGAATCCATCGGAAAATACAAAAACTTCCCTGCCCCCCCTAATTGCTACACTGTTTTCCATTTTGTCCTGTGCTGTTTTAAATTATCGTTCACAGCCGATACGGAAAACCAATATCCTGCTTTTGGATTAGCCCTCATAGAAAGCACATCCGATCTCAGTCGTTTCAAAGCCCCCCTCGGGTTCCTGTTTCCACACATTTCTGTCGGCATGGTAATTAAATCCACATCTCTCAAAAGCTCCGGGTCCCAGGGAGATTTTAAACCAGTTTGAGTGTTAATCAAGGATATTGCGGGGGAGAAAAGGCTTTGTTCAAATCATGTATTCACACGAGGTGGCGGCTGGCAGCCTGGTTTGGTACTTGAGCAGCAGTGGGCCAGTATTGCCATGTGGGGGAGACTGATCAGATTTCCAGCCCAGATTGTCTCATGACACGGGTTATAAGTTCTCCATAGATTTTAAAGCCAGAGGGGCCAATATGATCATCTTGTCTGACTTCCTGTATAATAGTCCTCAGAATTCCACCTAGTAATTCCTTCATTGAGCCCTGGGGAGGAGTCAGCCAAGGAGCAGGAGTGACTGCTTCAACCCCACTTTTAGGGAAGGAGCATCCCCATCACAAAATAAACCCCCATAACTGAGGAAGGCACCACTGATAACTCCATTGTTACTAGCAGCCAATACTGCGATAGCGGATTTTCTCAAAAGGGACCGATCTCCCCCAACTTTACTGGCACGGAGAAAAAGCATGGGCAAGCCTTTAGATGGAAAGCAAAGAGGCCAGCCAGCCTCATATCAGGATCGAGTAGATTGTACGACAGCTGGTTACCATTTTCGGAATCTGAATACATACAGATAAGAGTCAGGGGGTAGCCACGTTAGTCTGTATCCACAAAAACAACAAGGAGTCTGGTGGCACCTTAAAGACTAACAGATTTATTTGGGCATAAGCTTTCGTGAGTAAAAAAAACCTCACTTCAGATGCAGATAAGAGGTTGATCAAACACAAATGGGTCTTATAAAGGTACTACGTACAGATTAGGACAGAGATTGGTTAATAGTGGTGTGCAAAGTTCATGTAAGTTAACAATGATAAAATAGGGTTTTCTTTAAAAAATGAAAACCCCTAATTGGCAGGCAAAGGAATGAATGGGTCACTGTACCGGACTTCTCAGAAGCAGCCCCACACAGTCAGAGAGAAGTTTTTTTCGGAGCAGGGACTGTCTTTTTGTTCTGCTTGTACAGCGCCTAGCACAGTGAAGTCATCTAGGATTAAGGCTTCAAGGCACTGCCATAATACACATACAATAATAATTGGCATGGAATGGCAAGAGTGAAGCTTACAATGCTTAGTCCTGCCATGAGCACAGGGGACCTGACTAGATGACCTCTCAAGATCCCTTCCAGTCCTATGATTCTATGAATGGCCAGGACCATGCTGTAACAGTTCTTTGGATAAATGGAGGACTTTAGAGCCATCAATCCGGCAGCTTTCGCCAACAAGCAATTCGCTGAGCAGCAAGCAGCACAAATGGGCTTCTGAATGGAGTCTGGCCTGGCCTCTTTTAGCTAAAAGAACAGTGGATGTGATAAAACTGCCCCCCTTCTCATGGCCCAGGCAGTACGGAAGCCTGGCTGTTTCGAATAAGAGTTCAGAGACACACACACCCCGACCCCCCAAGAACATCTGAATATGGAACTGAAACTTCAGAAAAGGAACATGAACTAAAGCGCATTGGTAGAGGTGGTCAGAAATTTTCCAATGGAACATGTGTGTGTCTGGAAGTGTGAACTTGTTGGAAGCAGAACTTTTTTGTGGAAGTCTTTTTATTTTATTTTATTATTAAAGAAAGTGTCTGAAAGAAAAATTGGGGGGTGGGAAGCTTTTTTTTAAGGTTGAAACAGAACGTTTCGATTTTCCATGTTAAAAAAAATTTTTTTTTTTTACTATAGTATAAAATGAAAACAGAATGAAAATGTTTGATTTTTATCTAAGCGAAATGTTTCAACTGACCTGAACACACACTTTTTAAAAATTTCAGTTCATGGGAATATTTCAAAAATTGTTCTTTTAAATCCATTTCAGAATAAAACAAGATTTTGAAATCAGGGATTTTCCTGCAGAACAAAATAGCCAGTTCCTGCCCAACTCTGCTCATTACACACTTTTATTATTGTTATTTGTATTAGAATCATAGAATATCAGGGCTGGAAGGGACCTCAGGAGGTCATCTAGTCCAATCCCCTGCTCAAAGCAGGACCAACCCCAACTAAATCAACCAACACCAACAAAATCACCATAGCACTTCTCTTCCCCTCAAAAGAATGAGAGGTTAAATAGACTCTGAATCAGCAGAATACTTAACAGAAGGTTGGCTTTGTTGAAATCACCACTGTGGCCTGGATTCTTCTCAAATGACTAGCAGTCTATTACAACAGGGCACTAGGTTTTTAAGATATGTGACCCTCAAAGCAGCACAAGCATCCTTTGCAGTTTGGATGCTTCTCTGAAGTTCATCTAGGCTTAGGATGACCAGATAGCAACTGTGAGAAAATGGGATGGGGGCAGGGGGAGGGGAGGGGAGGTAATAGCTGCCTATACAAGAAAAAGTCCCCAAAACCAGGACTGTCCCATTAAAAATGGGAAATCTGGTCACCCTATCTAGGCTAATCAATCTGTCGTGCTTCTTTTTGGTCAGATGATAAACCACTGGAATGAGACATTTAAAACAAATCTTGTCCTCTTCTACAGTGTTCTCCACCTAGACATCTCATGAAACACAGATCAATTAAAAAGTGAAGAAAAGTTATCCTCATTTAAAAAGGTGTGAAAGAGGCAAAGGGGGGGGGCGTGTATCCTCAGCTGATGTAATGTAGATCCATTGAAGCATCAATATCAAAAGCTTTACATTGAGTTATGCCAGCTGTGGGTCTGTCCTAGAGTTTACAGCTTAGAATTTTCTAAGGTGCCTAT